GTTTTGGAAACATGAACCACAGAAGTAGCAAGCGTGTAAGAGCAACCTCAGTGTTACTGATTAGTCGTCTCATCAATCTAAAGAGCCAAAAGCAAACAAAATTTTCTGCCCCACAAACATGGGTTGTTCGAAGTTATCGCCCATACCATCAATGTTTGCTCGTCAGTAACTCCACCCTCCTTCCTTTTACGTTGTTAGGCTCATGTTAAATGTTTAAAAGAAGCTATTGAGTTCTACTTGGTGTTCTATGTCTCGCATCCTGTTGAGAAACACTATTTCTGCAAGTTCCTTTCACAAACTCGTCTGGCTGTTACAACTTTGAACTATCCCATCCTTTTTGCGAACCATGTGGACAGGTGAGGCTCATAGACTGTGAGAAGGACGAATAATACCTAAAGCTAGTAAATTGTCAAACTCGCGTTTAGCGGAAGCTGGCTTGGAAGATGCCTGCTGGGGGGGACTACTTGCGGCCTTTCTTGATCAAAAGCGGGCTCGTGGGACATAGGGTTCAGGAACGAAAGAACGGTCTCGAAATTTGAGATGGCTGTGGTTACAGCAACCCTGGTTTCGTTGAGCCTGAAGGTGATTAGTTTCGAGGTCAACGTAGAGGCAACTATGCAGTTGTATCGCGAGCCGATCCGCTCTAATATCTTCTCTGCTATCAGGACAGCCCTGTTAATTAGCGTGCCCTCGAGAAGAGCAGTGATTGTTGGTTGCAAATGAGCTGGTGATGCTTTGAGGCAGAATTATCTGACTATGTCAGAATCAGCTGTCCTAGGTCCTGCCAAAGGTCGCAGGAGAGTGAGGTGGTGGCTTGGATTGGCATCACGCAGAGGGTGACGTGCCAATAATTTTCTCAACTGTTCCTCCCTCGATGGGAGGAAGTGTTTGTGAATAGCCTGTTTAAGACGATCGTAGACATCAGGAGCTGTAGGGTTGAGAACAATCTCACGGACAGCAGCAATGTGGTCCCAAGGAAGAGACTTCAGGGCGTAGGCAAACATTTGTCAGTGGTTCGCGACGCGGCGGATCCCAACTGAGATTCAGACCTATGGGTCGTGAGGAATAAAAGCGACAGGTCGGGATTTATGGACCTGTATTTGGGAGTCTTATAGGCTATCGTCATTTTTTTAGTCTATCCACCATTTTCAAAAGCTGTTTTATTTAATATATACATGCAAAAAAATATCGATATATACTACAAACAGTTAAAGTAGTAAGTAAATAGGATAGAAAAATGACAGACTCACCGTATGTAGGATTTATTTTGTCCTACAGATGTAATTCTACAACAGTAAATGTAGATGAATTTTCTACCCTAGCAGTTCACTTTGATTCCAGTGGGTGTAGGTTGAACGCGCTATCACCCAGTCCAATATCAAAACACAATAATTCTAGGAGAAAGCGGTCTATTTTTATAATAAAATGGAAATACAAACAACTACCTGACTATTAATACACCTTCCAAGTCTAAGTTACCCTGATGGGTATCTGATTCCAAAAGAATAAGTGTTACTAGTTCTAACTGCCACGGTATCAAATCCAAATACGGCTGTAGCCATATTAAATATCAAATTTAAACAACATGTGTGCAGTTCAGAAGCAAACATAAAAACTTCAATATAAGTACAAAATATAGAAATAATAACAATATACAGTGATAAAATCTCAAAATGGAATCAAATACAGTACCAAAAAGTCTACAGAAACAGTCAGTCATATCATAACACAAATATATATACATGGAGGGATTTTCCAAAAAACAAACCATTCAAAAAAGATTCTACAGTAAACGCAGTACTGGCGAGCACGGAGTCTGTAGTAAAGCTATAGTAAGAGAAGGTCAACTTAGTTTCAAACTTTATCTGTTTCTAAACGTAAAAAAAACAATTACATTAGTACAATAAATAAGGGAGATCTAGCAATGACGTCAGAAAAGGCTGCAAGAGACGGAGGCTTAAGACAACTGTACGAAACACAAAGAAGCTAGCCGGAAACTATCGTAAACCAGAACGACCAGTGAAAAGCAAGGAAACAAAGTAATGAGCAATCACTGAAGAACAGCAAAACAGGTGGGTGAAGCACTTTAAGGAACTCTTGAATCGACCAACTCCACTGAACACACCCAACATCGAATCAGGATCTACGGACCTCCCAATTAAAATTGACGCACCCACAAATGAGGAGATCTGTACGCCCATCAGACAAATCAAGAGCGGCAAAGCAGCAGGACCAGACAACATTCCAGCAGAGGGAATGAAGGCAGATGTGGAAGCAACTGCGAAAATATTTCATATCCTCTTCAAGAAGATTTGGGATGAGGAACAACTACCATTAGACTGGAAAGAAGATTACCTGATCAAAATACCAAAGAAAGGCGATCTGAGCAAGTGTGAGAACTACAGAGGCATCACTCTCCATTCAATACCAGGCAAAGTCGTCAACAGTGTATTGTTAAACAGAATGAAGGACTTCGTGGACGCCCAACTTCGAGATCAACAGGCTGAATTTCATAAGGATCGATCGTGTACTGACCGAATTGCTACATTACGGATCATTGTGGAACAATCAATAGAATGGAACTCACCACTCCACATCAACTTTATCGTCTACGAGAAAGCGTTCGGTAGCATGGATAGGAAAACACTATGGAGGCTTCTTCGACACTACGATGTGCCTGAGAAAATAGTTAAAATCATACGGAATTCTTATGATGGATTCAACAGCAAAATCGTACACGAAGGACAGCTGACAAACTCGTTTGAGGTGCAGACCGTTGTCAAGCAAGGTTGTCTACTCTCATCCTTTCTCTTTCTCCTGGTGATCGACTGGATTAGGTAGACTTCAGCATCTGTAAGGAAGCACGGTATTCAGTGGACAGCTAGGACGCAGCTGGACGATCTTGACTTCGCAGATGACCTGGCTCTTCTATCTCACACGCAACAACAAATGCAAGAGAAGACGACCAGTGTAGCAGTAGTTCTCAACATACATAGAGGGAAAAGCGAAATTCTCCGATGCAACACAACATGCACCGACCAAATCACTGTTGATGGAGATGCCTTGGAGGACGTTAACACCTTTACATATCTTGGCAGCATCATCGACAACCAAGGTGGATCCAATGCAGATGTGAGGGCGCGGATCAACAAAGCAAGGGCTGCATTTCTACAGTTGAAAAATATCTGGAACTCCAGACAACTTTCAACCAAAACCGAAATCAGGATTTTCAATACAAATGTCAAGAGAGTCATACTGTATAGAGCGGTCTGCAGATAGTTATGTTTTCAGGATTAAACAGACGTAACGTAGCTGAATAACTTAGTTCGGACATTTGTTTTAACATGTCAACTACGACACTAGCCAGACTGACCGATTGGTATTTTTATGAGAGCTGCTTATTCCTATCCTAAAGATAGAACTAAGAATGAGTTTCTTCTAATCCCATGTCAGTTCACTGTGGAAAATTTTATTTTGGAGGACACTGTGAATATTCTAAAAAGCATCCTTCTGCAACATCAAAACTCGATAGTTCAATGCTTAAAACCCATTTGGCCTGTCAGGTTACAATAAGCTTACCAAACGAAGAGCTACTTTTTCGATCATAAATAACGATACTTCTTTTAGTAGCTCAACAGTGTACCAACCTGAGATATATGCATCCTATTCTGGATACACATTAGTGATGTATTTCGACAAATTTTTATTGTAGCTGATGTAGTTGGAATGTTTGAGATCTCCTTAAACCCTGGTAATGGAATTTCACAAGTTAACTTCACCTTTTCGTTAACATAAGCAAACAGTCGTTTTGGATGGATTCAGTGAATGTTTGTTAACCGCGTTCCGCAATTTTCGGAAAATATATGTATGTTCATCTTCTATTTACCCCTCTTCCAGCCACACTTCACTTTAGAGGATTCACGACTAAATGTTATATCAAGTTACGAGAATGCGTACTACATAGTATTATCTTTTGTACCGTCTCATCCACGTTTGAAGAGACGATAATTTTACTGTGAGCTGCCCATATAATGAGTGACCTTTTTAATTTTTGTAGGTGGTTTGCATTGACCAACCTTTTTGTAAAGAAAGCCTAACCTTTGGCTGCCGTAATATTTATTCTTCAGATACTTGGACGTGTTGGAGTAGACCAAAACAGAATTTCAAGTGTAGTGAGCCCTGATTGCGATTTATAAAGAGTACTGGCAACATAATCTGTCACCACTGTAAGTAAAAATGAGATGGTTAACAAATACGTGGTCCACTATATAACTTAAAATCCCTACGAGATGTAATGAATGAGCAAGTCTTCGAAACTTAATTCTTTAGCAAACGAATTTTGCTTAAGAATATATAACTTGCTTCAGTAAAAGAGGTGCCACTGAGAGGCTAGAAGGTTGAATTGTTAGTCGTAAGAATAATGCATCCTTCTAAATGTATCTCTCTATTCATGTTTTATTACTCGGCTAAGGTAAAAACATGAAGATGTGTTGGTTTGTGTGTCAGCCGAAATTGTACTGCCACCATCTTAAGTATTTTATTTTGAAAATCCGGTAGATAGCAGTCCATGTCTATGCTACATTGTGGACAAGGTTACACGTATACGAGATTTGTGAAGACTTCGTGACACTAGTCTTTAGACTTATCAAATTGTAAACTACTTCTTACTGAGTCTAATGACTAGGCCTTATAAGACAAATTTTTATCAAAACCATCCTCAGAATATTTAGGATTTAATTGAAGGTTAAATGGCGGTACGATGTGATCTTTCGAAACCACCAAAACTAAAATAATTATACCAACCTACAGAACTACCTGATAAATGTCTCAAGCATGCCTAGCATCTTCAGCTCAGAAACATTTTACTAAATGATATAGTAGCAGTAACGATCAAATATTCAGAAAGCTAATCTGCCATGGATTTATAAGTAAGATTGATAATGACAATACGATGTCCAATGTTTTAATGCACGGTTACCTGTTTGTCCGTATCAAAATACGTAATTTGTTGGCAGCGCAGAAATCCAAATTGCTATCCGGAGGGTTTTTAGCACTAACCAAGAAGCATGCTCCGGGATATAATATTTAAGGGTAAAGAATTGGCTGACAAAGTGTAGGTTCTGTTTATTCACAACTACCTTCGAAGAACTAATATCATGATGAACTATACCGAGGCGGAACTGAAGGTTCGAGAAGCAACTAATGATGAAATGTGTTGTCCACATGGTCGCCTCTTACAAAAGCTGGCAGATTATACATATACCTATGAAACCTATCTGGAAGTCATGTCTACCCTCTGGAAAAGAATGCATCCTGATGATAGATGCAGTTGGAGGCGAGTTTATAAGGCAAGAATTTTTTTCGAGTGGAGCATAATATATCACGTCTGTTAAATGTTGTAGATGTCTATCATACGCAAAAAATCAGTAGGCAATGTTAGTTATGGTTTTCGATACCATGTTTTCGAACTCAGTGATTCATTAGCCGTTTAATTGATAGCGCTCTCTTCCGATGGCCTACGGAGCCAAAAGTTGAGAGTCGGGACCAAACGTGTGAACAGAGAAAAACTGGGCTGATTGTTACCATATCCTGTAGCTTTGCTTCAATTCATGCCACGCTTTGTATTGTGCCTAGGTTCAATTTACGTACTCTAGGCTGTTCTAAATAGCGAACTGCGTTGTATACGAGTCTCATTAATAAGCGAGACGGATTACGATTATATGGTCTCTGAATCATTTCGAACATCGCCTGTGTGCAGGATCGGGCTATTGGTTGCCGTCTTAAGTTGCTTAAGGAACTTATTACTCTGTATTCCAGTCGCACGATTTGATCGTAATCACCTATCTGCTATTAAGTCATAATCTGTAAAATTTTCAACTTCGGCACAGATGTATTTGCGATTAACTAGTTCTAATAAATTATCTGCACGTTACTCAACAGTATGGTTTGATGGCCTAATGAAAGAGTTGATTCCCGAAATCCTCGATAGTACGATATGACTCACCAACTGATGGCAATATTGCTTGCTTGTTTAGCAGCTTAGATCTGTTTCCCTCAATGAAGCATTGGCCGCCGACCAGCGTTCTGCAGCCTATTCTGTCCTGAGCTTCCTTTTCCAGTTCTATTCTATTATTCCTCATTATTTTCATGTCTGTTTCCAATTCTCGGCGTAAGGTATGTTTTAAGCTTCCTCTTTGCATTCGGTCTTGAGGATTACAAGTGAGGGCTTGTCTTGCGGTGCAAATGAGTGCTTTCCCCAGTGTACGTCTTACTCACCTCCACTGCTTCTTCTTAATCTGCTCCACTGGAATCTGGTTTATCCTCTCCCACAGTACAATGTTGCTGATGGTGTCTGTCTAGAGGATTCTCACTATCTTGCGTAGACAACTGTTAATAAACACTTGTATCTTGTGTATGGTGGCCTTCGTGGACCCCCGAGTTCCCGCCCCATACAGAAAAACTGTCTTGACAATTGTATGGGAAATCCTGACTTTGGTGTTGGTTGGCAGGCAGTCGTTTTGAGTTGCAGACGTTCTTCAATCGTAGAGATGCTGCTCTTGCTTTGCCAATCCGCGCCTTCACATCTGCGTTCGGTACACCTTGTTCACCAATGATTCTGGCCAGATATGTAAAGGTTTCTACAACCTGCAATGCTCCGTTTGGTTCGATTTAATTGGTGCATGTTGTGTTGTATGGTGGGATTTTAATTTTTCCATTGTGTACGTTGAGACCTACTTCTACGGTGGCTGCTGCTGGTTGTTTTCTCCTGCATTTGTTGTTGCGTATGGAACATAAAGTCTAGAACCTTTGCGCAGTCCAGATCCTCCAGCTGCATCTTTGCTGTTCACTGTGTCGCTTGCATCCTCTCGGATGTTGACCTCTTCATAATCCAGTCGTTCAGCAGGAGAAAGAATGGTTGAGACTAAGAAACCTTGTCTGATTCTGGTCTCCACTTGGAACGAGTCTCTGACCTATCCTTCATGCATGATTTTGCAGTACAAACACATCCCAGGAATTCTGTATAATCTGTGTATTGCTTTTTGCTGAACAATATTGCAGTGTATTGTGCCTCGATGTGAGTAATCAACTTTCAGATGTAGACTACTGAATCTTGGTTTTTGGATTTACAGGAAATGTTCAGGTGACTAGCCTTATATAAATGGGACGAATAGTTGTTACGAAGATCATTGCTCATGGGACTGAGAACCAATATAAGACCATATCAACCTACATCAAGCTAATTGAGAAAAGTGATGTCTCATTTTTTTAAAGAAGAAATCGTGACGTCATTTTAACATTTAGGTTCATATTTCTTAGTCGTTCTGGCACATTTACCTGATATTTGTGACATTCGATGTTCGAGTACATCTCAAATGTGACCTGGTTCATCTCTTATTAGGTCCTGGACGTATTCTTATCCAGGTTCAAAAAGTTTACGATCAGATCTTGAAATTCAGAAACTGTAACATCTAGCCGTAATTCTGAGTGATTAGCCTATGATAGTTCTATAGACCTGAACAACATCAATCTCAGTTTTCGAAATGCCGCTGGTCATTTTTGTGTTTTTCATCATAATCATTCACCCTTAATCATCAGCTCCTTTCACTGACAACATTTTCAATCAGTTTCCTAAGCTTGAATTCGATCCTGAAACTCTTCAGTTGTGTCCCAAGGTACCGAATTCCATGTGAGACTGATGTGGTCTATGCACATTGAATGTATAGCTGTATTCATATCCTTAGCTGTTATATATATAATTTCAAGAACAACTGGAAATTAAACAAAAAGTTCAAAACCGTAGAGAATTTTGAGCAAATCTCAAAAGGTATATTCCGGAAATCTTATCAAATTACATGAGATGATGAAAGTAGAATAAATGCACAAAGCATTTCGGAAACCTAGATCCATTCAAAACAATTAAAATTCACGTTAACCAAATTATGATCCTATTGAAACAAGCACACAGGCAAGTTTACTTCATTTCGAAATTCATTCCAAAACATGGGTGTGGGCAGCCACCCTCATACCCATAACAGCACACGAGACCAAATCGGTCAAAATCAAATACTCCTTACCCCCACACATACCTCTCTTATCTCCACGACTAACTCTTCGCACATTCCTTTATCCCATTACTGCTAATACTTCTACTATTGCTATCACTGTCTGTCTGTCTATTTTACTTTCGCTCCTGCTTCTTTTATCCTGGTGATATAATTCGGTTACCGAAATCTCAATAGGTAGCGTAATATGATTGACAGAAATCTCTATAAATGGAGGATATGTTTAATTTTAATCTTCGTTGTTTTCGAAACTAGGTTTTTTTTATCAAAGTTCACTAATATGTGATTATATGAACGACTAGTAGCCGAATTACTTGTGTAGGAATTCATCAATTTAGTGTATATAATCTTGTTCATTGAAACGTGTGGTCAGTCAGAAAGGATTTTATCTCCTTTGCTTCACCGGTTATTCGAAGTTTTAAACCATAAATTTTATACGTAGAACCTTGCATCCAACCCCGACGCTCTTAAGTGGATTTCTTTCTGCATAATAATCGGGTACATGTAGGTTTATCAAGTTTTTTATTTTCCTAAGGACGATAACCAAGTATAGCCTTATGTGTCTGTGACTAAGTACTTAATTTGATGAGTTGATTTATTCTTAGACGCCCAACTTCGAGATCAACAGGCTGGATTTCATAAGGATCGATCGTGTACTGACCGAATTGCTACATTACGGATCATTGTGGAACAATCAATAGAATGGAACTCACCACTCCACATCAACTTTATCGTCTACGAGAAAGCGTTCGATAGCATGGATAGGAAAACACTATGGAGGCTTCTTCTACACTACGATGTGCCTGAGAAAATAGTTAAAATCATACGGAATTCTTATGATGGATTCAACAGCAAAATCGTACACGAAGAACAGCTGACAAACTCGTTTGAGGTGCAGACCGTTGTCAAGCAAGGTTGTCTACTCTCATCCTTTCTCTTTCTCCTGGTGATCGACTGGATTAGGTAGACTTCAGCATCTGTAAGGAAGCACGGTATTCAGTGGACAGCTAGGACGCAGCTGGACGATCTTGACTTCGCAGATGACCTGGCTCTTCTATCTCACACGCAACAACAAATGCAAGAGAAGACGACCAGTGTAGCAGTAGTTCTCAACATACATAGAGGGAAAAGCGAAATTCTCCGATGCAACACAACATGCACCGACCAAATCACTGTTGATGGAGATGCCTTGGAGGACGTTAACACCTTTACATATCTTGGCAGCATCATCGACAACCAAGGTGGATCCAATGCAGATGTGAGGGCGCGGATCGACAAAGCAAGGGCTGCATTTCTACAGTTGAAAAATATCTGGAACTCCAGACAACTTTCAACCAAAACCAAAATCAGGATTTTCAATACAAATGTCAAGAGAGTCATACTGTATGGAGCGGAAACTTGGAGAAATACGAAAGGCATCATCCAGAAGAAACACGTGTTTATTAACAGTTGTCTACGTAAAATACTTCGGATTCGTTGGCCAGACACGATCAGCAATAACTTACTGAAGGAGAGAACAAACCAGATTCCAGTGGAGGAGGAAATCAGGAAGAAGCGGTGGAAGTGGATAGGACACACATTGCGAAAAGTACCCAACTGAGTCACAGGACAAGCCCTCACTTGAAACTCTCAAGGCGAAACGAAAAGAGGAAGGCCAAGAAACATATTACGCCGAGAACTAGAGAAAGATATGGGAAGAATGGACAAGCATTTGACAGAACTGGAAAGGGAAGCCCAGGACAGAGTTGGTTCGAGAAAACTGGTGGGCGGTCTCTGCTTTATTTGGGGCTAACAGGCGTAAGTAGTAAGTAAGTAAGGATATACGAACAATGTTTCGCAGACACGTATGATTGAATACTAGTAACCTACGAATATCCTGCGTTCTTAATGGTCGTTTCACACCCGTAACGTAGAACAGCGAACTGCTGCATTGTAGACTCCTCTTTTGGTTAGCAAATGCATGCCTAGCCCACACCATAAGTGATGTAAGTTGGCGAAAACGAGTCCAATCTTCTGTATATGCCGGGATGCCTTAAGAAACCATACCACTTATATTGATGAAACTTCCGGAATAAGTGAAGCAGTCGGTACGCCCACCTACTTCACTTTCTATCACTAATTAGGATGCAACCAATCCTGAAGCAACATTTTGCATTCGGACGAGGATAATTGCATCCCAACTACTAGCCTTGTTGCTTAAGGTGGTCCCATGTTTGTATGTCTAGACTATTTGAATGGTGTCCGCGAGACGATAGTAAGTGTTGGTTAGAGATCTTGAACGACTTGGCTCAAAACCGTTTGTAATGGCGCAGGTGCATACATTTTTTGTGCTCCCTTAAATCCTAATCTTTTAAATTCCTCATCATCTCTACCTTTCTCTAAATTTATCTCACTGAATTATACTTCTTGAATAGTATCTTAAAACCCTAATCTTATCCTTTACCACTAATACGTCTACTACCTTAACTACTTTGGGATGTGAATTGACGATTGCGTCTCTGCGTTAATATAATATGGTAACTTGAACTAATGTATGTACGTACGAAGTTCTACATTGTAACCAAGTGACTGACTGATAATTAGTCTGCAGCTTGTAATTTGAATCCGAGTCATCATTTGATCAAATTATCGACATAGACCCAGGCATATGTTTTGAAGAACTACGATTTGTCCAACAAGATAAGAATATATATCCTGGATAAAGTAATGGTTTTCTAAGTTCGTCACTATTACGAAGTTGTACGTCGTAACTGACTAACTTAAGGTGGTCAAGATACCCTGCATATTGTCAACATCTTTGCCAAACAGAACTGTGTTTAATTGGTAGTAATATCACGATGTCATTATTATACTGATTGGTTTCTGATGTTACGATACAGACTATTGAGTTTCGTTCCGTAGTAGGAATTAATAAATTCACAATATTATGATGCAACATTATTCTCATAATTTAATAACTCAGTTGACAGTAACATTTCAACATACATTCAAGCATTTCATTTTTCTTAATTATAGTCTTTAGTTGTCCTTAGCTTCCTTTTGAAGAATGGTTCTGATTATGTGTTACAAGGTGCTCGAGATCATATATACGACATTCGTACGCTTGAATCTTTCCGATATTTCGATGATAATGGAAAAGATCAAGGAATGAATGGTGAGCGATTATTCGTTACCCTGTAATGTTATTATATATTATTAGACTTTTATACTATACAGGAGGAAACTTGAACACGACTAAAGCTGTTAAAGTAGGTAAACGATACAACTTGTGAAATAAGTAGTGTTCAGTCACTAATGCCACTGTTAGTGTTAGCTACTGTGAATGACTTCTGTAATCATGCGATTGATTTTAGAACATCTCATAGAATTTTTTGTTGCTTTTGTCTTCATATTTTTTTTGCTGATAGATATTTCACCTTAACATTAGTTTCTCCGCAGGAATGAGCTGGAATGCCTTTCTTTAATACAAAAATTGATATCAACGGCTTAAGGTTAGCAAACAAGTTGGAACGGTGCCCGTAAATGAGTTTGTTGAATCTCCGAACAGCAACAATTAGGACTAACGCTTCCTTCTCGATCTGGTCGTAACGTTTTTCGGGTGTTAGTATTCTGGAAGTATGCATCACTGCTTTCTGTGAACCGTCGGGAAAAACATTCAAGAGTACAGCACCCAGTCCATATGCTGAAGCCTCAGCAGAAAGCACAATGGGTAGTTTCGGATTGTAGTAGGTTAGCATTAGTTTGAAGCTTAGCCATGACTTTAAGCTTTGAAAAATCTGACTTACTTTGAGTGGACCAATTCTAAGTAGCATTCTTTTCTAGCAGATGATTTAATGGGTATCGCGTGTCATGCATTGATAGAAGAAAGCTGAATAGTAGCTAACAATTCCCAAAAATGATCGCAGTGAGGAGACATCTGTGAGAGCAGGCATTTGTTAGATTGCATGAGTATATTGAGGATCAGAATGTTGTCCGGAAGCATCAAAGATAAAACCAAGGTATTTAACGGAACGTAAGAGAAATTGGGTTTTCTCTGGACGGAGGCAAAAACCATTACTATGGATGCATTGCAGAACTGAGTGTGTTCTTGCATTCAGTTTATCAGCAGTTGAGCCGGCAATGAGGATATCGTCAAGGTATGTAGCAACACAAGGAACATCTGTCAAAATAGTATCCACGATCTGCTGAAAGATCGCTGAAGCAGTTTTGATACCCAAGAGTAACCGAGTATGCTGAAAAAACCCTCGGTGAGTATTAATTGTCAACAACTCTTGATTTAAAAGCGACAGGAATTTAAAGGTAAGCATCCGCCAGATCCATCTTAGCAAAGTAAGTACCACCATTTAAAATAGTATGTCATCTGGGATCGGCAGTATATAGTGATGCTGTTGTAGTGCCTCGTTGAATTCTGTGGAAAAGTCTGCACAGATGCGTATGAAATTGAACTTTTTAACAACTACAGTTGGTGCACCTCATGATGAATAAGAGACAAGTACAAGAACACCCTCATTTTCCAAACGCTGAAGTTCAGCGTCAACCAGAGGTAGAGACGCGTATGGGACTGTACGTTTTGGACGAAAAACTGCCGTAGCTTCTGGCTGCAATTCCAAAACGGAAGCTGTTTTGGAACAAAGTCCGAGACCAAGCTGATTGTGGAAGACTGCTCTTAAAATCCTTGTTGAGGCAACTGACTTTTTGGGAAACCGACGCTTTATTTGTGAACCTCGACCGTTATTGAATTGGGCTGATTGGTAAATCCGTTTTTGTGACCAACTTTCTGACTGATCGCACACATGCTCTCTGAATGGACCGTAGCTGCTACCTTGACGTGGTGGTAGGGCTTGCCTATCGTGATAACCCAACCGAGCTATACTGGCAGGTCGATTGGAGAACGATGAGACTAAAAGCAGCTACTCTAGGTCTGAGGGCGAAGTCGTACTGCTGACTTCATAGGGGTGTGACAGCAGTAAGGTGTTTCCATCGGACAACCAGCATCTGCAGCGATATTGCCTCCTCACAAGGAAGGAAAGGTTAGAACAGGTTGACTCTAAAAATGTCACACCTCCCCTAACTCACCGATTTCCGTCTCTTTGGGTAAGGCTGCCCACCAAGGGCTTTTAAGAGCGGAGCTGATACTGAAAAAACCTTTCATAAAAAGGCCGTGCGTAACCGGCCTCAAGCAGTTGTCCCCTGGTCTCTGCGGTCACGCTCCCAGGTCTTTAAGACCAATGCTAATCTACCTTCTTTTTCAGGTTCCTCAAGAAAAACTCTTCCACAGTGTGGGAAGCCGGGAAGTAACATCCGCCCTCATACCCATAAAAGCCCCTTCCTCGTATCTTGATGGCCTGGTGACTGACGAAATCTCAGCTGGGATACAGAAGGCTCGATCGGCTTTAGCCAACCTGCGTCACTTATGGCGCAGGCGAGATATCCGCTTGTTAACCAAAGGACGAGTGTACTGCGCAGCAGTTCCCTCTGTCCTACTATACGGATGCGAGACATGGCCTTTAAGAGTAGAGGACATTCGTAGGTTACTGGATTTCGATCATAGGTGTATCCGAAGCAATGCTCGTGTATCCTGGGATGACCGAGTAAGCAATGCTATCGTTAGGAAACGAGTTGTAGGTAAGGATGGCAAATCAATAGATGAAGCATTGAAACTTCATCAGTTGAGGTGGTTGGGACATGTGTTACGTATGCCTAACCACCGACTGCCTCGACGACCTATGTTTTGTGGTGTAGTAGGTTGGATGCAAGTTAGGGGCGACTAAACCAAAACATGGCACAAATCCATGAAGCCATTGACAACTGGATTTAGTCATGTTGGTAGATGTAGGCTATCTGGTTGGGGTCCGCCAGACGATAGTCGCTGATGGTTAGAGACCTTGAACGACATGGCTCAGAATCGTTTGCAATGGCGCAGGTGCATCCACTCTTTGTGTGCTTTTTCATTCTAACCTTCTGAATTCCTCATAGTCTCTATCATTCTCCTTCTAAATTTATCTCACTGAATTATACTTTTTGAATCATATCTTCGCTCCCTAATCTTCTCCATTGCTGCTAATAATTCTACTATCACTATCACTCTTGGATTTGAACTGACAGTTACGTCTCTGTGCTGATGTGGTATAGCAAACTGGACTGATGTACTTATGTATGAAGTTGTGCGTTGTATCTGTCTGTCTGTCTTTGAATGGACAGAACTTCACAAAATGCCAGACTCCACAGTGCCAACATGGCGAGGGGGGCTTCTGCTGAGTCGGTGTGTAGTGACTAGCGGCAGGAACAGCACTGGCGTTCGAAGGACTAAAGGTTGTTGATCTAGAAGATTTGTTTTGATGCTGAACAGTGTGAACTGTGGAACCACCTTGACCCCCAGATTGGACCAAAGTGGTGTCACGATGCAGGTTGATAATGCGTTGGTACTCATCGGTGGTCGCATTGAGTGTCAGTGTTGGGTCTTGTTCAAGGCGGTTCAACAACCGAGTTCTGATGTCGGGGGATGCGTGTGATTGAAGACTGCATATGAATGCAAGAGACTTGAATTGGTCGTCAAAAAGGGATCTGAGCTCGAACCGTTCGCAGTCATGGTTGACAATGCCGACATGGGTCAAGAAGTTGTCGAACTTATTCATAACCAGTTTTAAGCACCGAAAGTGATTATTGAAAAGTGACTAGTAATCACCAATAAGTTGTAGCATCGGAGGAACGGTCCTGTGGGTTCTGTGGTAGAATTAGGTTGCAATACTTGTCCAGCTCCGATGAACAAAGTTTCCTAAGGAGATGGCGCACCTTCCAAGTATCATCTCAGTCAGAATGGTTGACTTTGAAAAGGTCTTCATAACTCCTGAACCAGGTATCAAATGTAATATTGGCGTCAGGATCATAAAGAAACTCTGAAATATCACTGGTAATACCATCAACTGATTGAGAAATTGCCGTTGTAGATGGGACTCTAAAAGAGGTGCTTGCCTGAGTAAGCACTTAAGAGAGACCCTTCGAAATTTAAAATGAGATAAACTATGTAGTCAGACAATAAATTAAACGTGATGAATAGCTCATGGTGTTTGTTATTCATTCCTATTATCCTGGTATAATATTTTGCTATCTTATTCTCTCAAATGTTACCTAAAGTAATCAGTACTTACAATTTCATAAATTTCTTATGTAATAAATGACACAGTTCTGTGACAGTTACCAGATCATATTGCATTTAAGCATTGTTATGAAAGATCTGAGTTTGAACTGAATGAATGACTTTCTGTTCTCTGTGAGTTATAGATAAACTTAACCAGCTACGAATGGACCTTTCATTGAAAAAAGTGCAAGTTTTCTGCTATAGAGTTTCCTTCTGTTCGTACGTATTAGACAGTAAACTATAAAACCAGACCCTTTGTCTTACTAAACGTTTGTTTCGTAGTTGTATTCACCTAATTGATTACCGATCAAAAATGCCTTCGTTTATTAGTCATCAACAAGTTATCTTCAATATAGAAGTAATGTTGTTGCTTCTAAATTCGGTAGCAAATCAATATTAAGGTTTAAGTATCACTTCTTTGTTTATATCCTAGTACTTCTAAGGTAATAAAATGTGTCTATCAGACATAAAGTAGAGAGTTAGGTCGGTTTGCTAGTGTTAGGCTTCTTCATAACAATGCGCGCAGATTTTTGAGCGCACCTGTATCCAACTTGTAGGACACTTATTTTATTTAAGTGATGGATCTTAACATCTAGAGAAAGTAATTTGTAAACTAAGAAAAATTCCTCGAGCACAACTTTGGGTACATAGACATGAATTTATTTTGCAAATCTGTTTTTCAGATCTCAAATTGACTCATTATTTGTTTCATGGTTTTCATGATAAAATTACGAAGTATGCCTTCTCTTTTTCGCATACTGCTAAACATAAAAACACTACTTGTATGATTACTACGTGGTTGCATGTAAACATCAGGGTTCTGCTTACTAAGTGATAAAAGATGAACTTCGTTTAGTGAAAACCTTAATGCATATAGATAAGTTTTCCTTAGGATGAAAAAAGCTTAATTCTATAGGAAAAACAAATGTGATGAGTTTTAACAATTTTTAATTATATTGTACATTGTTCAGTATATAAATGCTATTTGTTCATGTACTTCAGTTCATTATATTTTTTTTCTAATTTATAACATTCGTATTGTAGTCCGCATCAAAGTTCAAGAAATAATCGACCTCATACAAGACCCAGAAAAGCTACAACAAGAACGTCAAAAGGCCAAGGCTAGTCGTCACATATACACAGGTTATGGAAATACTAATGATTCAGATTGGAGTTATTCTTCGTACAGAAATAGTGCGAATCACGGTCAAAGATCGTAAGTTAATATCATACTGTATAATCTTTCAAATATTTCAGCTAGGTCTTCAAAACCTCACCAAAGGCTAACCGTCTAATTATTGATTTCTAACTTTCTACAGAAATTGTTTGTTCTATGAATAAGTGAAAATATGTGGGACACTGGAAATTAGGTAGCATGATGTCGTAATCATGTAACATGAACCATATTTTTGATTATTAACGGATGGTTTTCTAAACCTTTTCACTCTTTATTCAGACATACTATTACAAATCAATTCATGTCATTAACGTAAATATTTGACTTCAGTGTGATAATATTGGAGTTATAATTTCTGAAAAAGTCTCTGTCGGAAATATAAAACTGAAGAAATTAGAATAATAAGACATTGATAGTGAAATATTCCAGACATATTTTTGCTTCTTTATTACTCTAATACTTCTACTACCTCTACTACCATGGGATTTGGATTGACAATTCTATCTCTGTTTGCTAATGTGTTATGGAAACTTGAAGTGATATACGTACGAAGTTCTACGTTGTAGCTGACTAACTTATTACTGTCAACTAATCAGTTCCGATTCAGGAGTACTATATAAAATTTCTCAAATTATACTTCTAATATCTACAAAAGCGTCTATTTTCGACTACCTATTGGCAGCACATGCAGACGTATTTTAAATTTGCCGATAGGTTTAGGCTACGAGAGAGAGAGTTCACAAATGCCCTACTATCAAAAGTAAATTTCGAATATTTTCTAAGTTTTACTACCTTTTTATATTGTTTTACAAACATACTTAATTAGAGTATTAAGCGTATCATTTATTATTACGCATCACTAATTGCCTCATTATTTTCTTTCTCTCTATTCTCTCACAATACCGTGTACGTATATACTCGAATGTTTACCGGATAATTTGATTTCGGATCATTGTTTTTTCCGCTTTGTGTGCTTATGTGTTTCCTCTTTGTGTTTTGTGTTTCACTCCTTGTATTTCGTTTTAACTTTGTGCTTGGCTTTTTTCTGTTCAACATTTTTTCCGTGCATTGTGTTTGTACTTATATATATATATATATGCTTTATATAAATCCTTATATTATTTCAAGTGATTCACTTGATGAATATGATAAAGAAACTCACATATCCAAAAACTTTACATTCCAATCTCGTGACAAACCTAGAGTGACAATATCCAAACATGAAATAGATCTGCCCCCGCCTAGGTTGGGTAGTTTTGATGATTGGCATGTGGGTAAAGAACGTGGTGTAATGGACGATGTTTTAGAACAATTCAAAGAAGCATGGGATTTGGCCAAAGAATCTACTAAGGATTTGATTTTCTCCAAAAAACCTGAAGATAGTAGATCAAAGTAGGTGGTTTATGTTCTCCGATGGAACAAAATGAACATTTTTTTGTGTGGAAAAAATCCGCTATTAACTTTTATGTCATTCTATATTAGTTGTAAATTATTGTAAGATAACTATCATTTCATAATTCTTAAGATAGTTGTTATCCTTGAAACATGTATCGTTGAGCAAAGATAAGTAATTTGTTATTAGTTGCATCCAGTTTATTCATAGTGTGAAAAATAGGTAACCAACAAGGTGTTTAGTTAACTGTTTAGTAATTTCAACAAATTTAAATCACTAACTAAAAATGCATCACATTAATCTTTGTATTAACAACCATACATTATGTATCCTAATTCATTAGAGTAGTTTTTAATTGCTGATGATTTAATTTGCAATTAATAGATTGTTGTTTATGTGTGCTCATCATATTCATTCATCTCATGTCTTTCTTTCTTTGTTAACGTTTATCATGAACACCAATGTTTTAATGATTTTAGTTACATTATGAATGAGTACAATCATCTAATGACAGTAAAATACCTGATTTATTTTTGCCTAATATAGTTCTCTTTGAATTTTCATTAAAATAATTCTCCTTGACCTTTTAGACACTTGCTACTTTCTGATGTTGTTTTGCTAAAATACATTTGTTTTGCATACAAAAAGGATGGTGACACTAAAATAAAAACTTTTCTTATCAACCATTGCATAAAACTTAGTTATTGTTTTTAAGCGGTTTGTTTTTATGTGTTGATGAATTTTTTTACTTATTGGATAATTTTTTTTGACATAATCTCGTGACCAAAACTTGTAGTAAAAACAAAAGTCCTGAGAAAAATATCAATGCATTACTCAAATGCGCATAAATTCTTACTTTTCTCGTTAATTGATTAATATGGTTTAAATAATCACGTTTAATTATTTATCTGCTATCGTCTGAACTTTATAATTCATAACCAAAGATTTTTGAATGCAAGTTATCTTAGTTACAAGTAGTTTACGTGCTTGAAAGATTTAATTGGCACAAACTAAATAAATCGATTATTAATGACAAAATTGAGTAACCCAAGATTTTAAAGTTTGTACAATCTGGATCTACGTAATTGGTAATTTTGTTCCTTATTGAAAAGTAACCAAAAGTCTTGGAGTTGTTAGGCACTACATGATTTGTGTCATATTTGTTTCGTCTGTTGTATTACATACTCCTGTTACCCCTCGGAGAGCATAGGTCTTCAACCCGTATTCTCCAGCTATATCATAGTCCTTTTCACTTGTTCGAAATCGCTACTCATCTGTTGTATTAGTTTAATATAATTATAATTTTGGTGATTTCTCATCGTCTATACTCTCTTGCAAGTAATACTAAAATAGTGATTTCTCGACAAGTAGGATTTTTTTCATTATTGTTCAAAAAGCTTTTAACTTGATTAGAGCTTGATTATACGCTTAATATTAATTGGTTGTGGACAATGATTAAAAACATTATTAATATGGGTCTAACAATTGACATTTATTAGAATGCGTTACTGCAATGTTCCAAATAATTTTAGCTTATAAAGGCCATGTCCTACATATATATATATATATATATATATATATATATATATATGTGGTGTCAAACATTTTCGAACAATTTTCCGTATATATGCTGCATATGTATGTATATGTATGCTGCATAAAAAAAACATAATTCTCACTGATGGTTTCTTTTCAAGTTCTCATTTTTACTTTTTTTATCATCCGGCAAACTGGAATGCGCTATGGTCACCTATTTAAGAAAACATGTAGATAACTTTAGAAAATTCATAGGAAACCAATATATAGAATCATACTCACAGATACAGCCCTCACCCACGAAATGAACGGGAAATAATAGACGTTGATGACAATTAAAAGAGGGATGATTGATTGACCTCGCACAAAAGATCAAACAAGCTAATTGTCGGGTATGATTATTAGTGTAAGATTTTTATTCACTGTTAATCTAGATTAAAAAAAATTTATATGGTAAACGTTAATTGAATGAATGTTTATTCTTAATCACTCAAATACATTCTACTTATTTATTTTATTAGCCGACTGTCATGCCGTATCATAATATTTATTGGTTTGTTATTATTCAGTGTATTTTTCTTTGATTGGCATAGAATTTCAAACTGTTTGCATTTTTCTTATGACATTAAAAAGTTCTTGTTTTCGACGTGTATGCTTGTATTTGTTTGTAAATTTGCATAAATGTATAATATATATATATATATACATACCATTGCTTATTTTGTTATTCGTTAATTGTAACACTTGTTTTCATAAATAACGATTCAATCGAATTCGTTTATAAGAAAAATACTTTCCCTTCACTAGCTCCTGATTCCGGTGTAGTTTTCCTTACAAATAATTTTTTTGTAAAGACACAATTGTTGACAAAAATACAGTTCGATGCATTTCACATATACATATATATATATTTTTATTACTTTCAAAGTGAGTCCAATCCACGTATGGTTTCTGAAGAGGTGTACGAATTCCCATCAAATGCTGTTGAGTCGGGTGGAACATATGAAGCAAAACTGCAGTCATCTTATGAAGATTATTCTGCACAAAATAAATTTCAATCGACAAATTCTTCAAAGTCGATCAAATGTAGTAGTATTGATACGCATGTTAATAATAGTGCTAATAATAATGGCGACGGGATGCATGCAACACAGTCTAATGGAAAATCTGTGGGTCAAGTTATTGTGAAAACTAGAAATCAAGTATGTTATCTTGCCCAAGTTTTAAATATGTATATGCATGATAAATTTTGTGCTCATTATTCACCTATAAAATAATATCGTAGTGAATAAATATACTAAATGTAAATGGGCAAAACAATATAATCTACCGTTTGCCACCAATCGAATCTGTGCAGTCGGTCACTATTTCTCTCGATATACAGTTTGAGGCCTACTCAATCATTTTATCTACCTATTTTCAAACTGTTCAATTACGTTAAACTTTCATATTTTAGATTTGTTAGGATATAATACTTATAAACGATAACTGTATGCGCTCATGCAATTTTATCGCAATGCTAAGACCGAGAAACAACAGTTTTTGACGTGTTTTCTCCCTAGTTTATACTTTAAAATTCATGCCTTATATTTATAAAATATGAAAAAAGTGGTTGTAACAATCAAAGACAAGAATAGCAAATACTTTCGAAATACGTTTCTAAGATATTGTTTGCAACAGAAAAATATAGATGCAGTATAAAATAATTAATGCTTCGGAGTGGGTATCATTTGCGTGGTTTTATAACTGGTTTTGTAGTTGTTCCCAAAATGCATTCTTGAATTTTGTGTCATTAAGTTGGACTGCAATGGGTTTCTTTGCTGTGGCTTTTTTACATTCACTAAGACGCATATAAACACGTGCTCGTATCATAGCATTATCTGAGTCTAAAGGTATGTTCAAGAATGAGTGACAGTCTTCTATTAAGCTGATCAGACGATGACTTTGTGATGTATTCGAGCCAGGTGGTGTTTTTTCCGTATGCCTAAAGTTAGTGTTTGCTAGAAACAGATGGATGCATGAACATAGTTGCACCGTAAGATCCGTCTACATGCCTTTAGGTTTGATTCAGGGTATGTACTTCGGCAATAAAGTCACCAGCCATTATTACTATATCAGAGCGCCTAACTTTTTGAAGTAGGTTAGAGAGGTTCCTGTAAAACTCAGCTTTAATCTCGTCTGAATTGCAGTTAGTGGGATCGTAGGTAGAGACAACAAAGAGGCAATGGCGAGTTTCCCTATCTTTACGAGTCTATACCGTCCCGTTTATTCGGACAGCGCATAAGCGACTGTCTACTGTGATCCAGCTTAAGAGAGCTAGTTCTGCATTAGCATTCGATGTTATGCCTACACCAGCAAGTCCACGGGAAGCAGCAGTGGGGCTTCCAGATACACAGAGCGTAAATCGCGATGGTTCCTTATTTTGACAAGGTGTGGTCAGATGAAAGACTACTCGAATCCTGTATGCGAGTTTCCGAGATGCAGCATACAACAATCGCGCGAGATTCCAGAGTCCTAGCCAACGAAGCCTGTTGTCCTATTTGGCACAAGGTTCAAACATTAAAAGCCTCAACATATAGTTCGGAGCGTAGTTTCAGAAGACCAGGAATAACATTTCGTGTATTCCAATCGTTTGCATTTGCGGCGTGAGTTGACAGAGATACGGGAGAATGTTTGGTCGTTGAGGTTAGAGTGCTATTATGAAGTATAAGGGGTATTTGATCCCACCAGTTTTGTCTCGTTAGTTCTTACAGGTATGAGGTCGGGTGTCACTTCCTGGCTGACCACACTATGAAAGGGTGTTTCCTGAGGGACCTGGAAATGAGTCTTTGTTAGCGTTAGTCTTAGTGACTTGGGAGCTTGACTATATAGGACCTAAGGAACAACTACCTGACGCTAATCAAAAAGGACCTCTTCATGAAAACTTTTTTGGTTTGTTTGCTCCTCTTTCTGAAAGGCCTTACTATCGGAGACGAAAATCCGTGTGAGGAGGTAGTGTGATATCCTTTTGGTTGACCTTCTCCTACTCCTTCCTTTATGAGAAGACAGCATCACTGCAGATATTTGCTGCATAAAGTAAACACTTTACTGCCGTCACACCTCTCTACATTCAGCAGTTCTACTTCGTTCACCAAGTTTCAGTTGCTGCTCTTAGTATTACGGCTTTCCGACCGATTCGTCCGACATATATAAAATCAACTAAGGCATATTGTTTGCTTGACTGTCTAATTCTGCTAACTAAATAGCTCTTATTTCGTCTGTCATTTCGTCCACGTTTCGCACACAGACTTATTGAAAAGTGGTCGATATTTGTTATCTATGTTAATTCTTTCACATTTGATATGATATGTGGAGTATACCTAAGTCCTTACAAGATCATAGTGTCAGCTATCAGATTTTCTCGTGCGGTTAATGATTTATTGTGAGCCATGATATCATTTGTTATATATATTAAATTAGCCTTAACATTTACCACTTTCTAATAGCACTTATGTTACTGCTTTTTACGTTTTAGTCTAAGAATCATTGATTCGTTTCACCTTCATCTTACTTCAGCTTTCACCAGTCATTATTGATATGAAAGTGGCCTACTACATGCAATATATCACCAATATATTTTGCTTAATAGCTACATTATGTGTCCTGTGCTTCTAAGATATTTATTGTCCTTAGTTTAATCAGCTATATAAATAAAAATCTTTGGGAATATAAACGATGGTAAATGGATTATGAACAGAAGAAACGCAGTCAGTCAGATATCTACAACGCAGCTACAACGTAGAACTTCGTACGTACGTACATCAGTTCAGGTTGCCATTCCACATTATCACAGACGCAATTGTCAATTTAAATCCCATGGTAATATAAGTAGTAGACGTAATAGTGATAATGAACAAGATTAGGGTTTGAAGATATAAGAAGTAAAATTCAGTGAGATAACTTTAAAAAAAGAAAGACAGAGATGATCAGGAATTCTGAGGATTAGAAATTCATAGAACACAAAGAGTGGATGCACATGCGCCATTGCAAACGATTTTGAGCCATATCGTTCAATGTCTCTAACCATCGGTGACTTTCGTTTCGCGGACCCCAACCAGGTTTTCTGTATCTACCAACATGACTCAGTCTACTTGTCAGTGATTTCATGGATTTCTGCCATGTTTTGGTTTGGCCACACCTAGCTTTCTTCCCACCTGCTTCTACAACACACACCACTCTTCGAGGCCGTTGGTGTGTAGGCATTCGTAACACACATCCTAATCACCTCAACGGAAACACCCTATTGCTGTCACACTCCGCTACAAACAGTGATACCACTTCGTACTTATAGCTTGAGTTGCTGCCCTTAGTCATAACGCTCTCTCATCCGCTTGCCTACAGCAACATATGTTCCAGCCAATATAGCTCGGTTGGGTAGGCAAGCCCGACCACCACGTCAATGTAGCAGCTACGGTCGGGGGTCACTTATGGATATTCGTCTACTGATCAAGCCCAATCATCATCTCAAGGTGGCAGCTATGATCGGTCCTACAACGCTAAATTTTGTATGTACGTATATTAGTTCAAGTTGCTTTTCCACACTAGCACAGAGATATGGAATTGTTAATTCAGATCCTATAGTAGTAGAGGTCTTAGAAGTATTATCGACCATGGTGAAGATTATTGTTTCAAGATATGATTCGAGAAGTATATCCTAGTGAAATATATTTAGGAGGCGGAACCAGGTCATGAGGAATTCAAAGGTTTAGAGTTTCGATTTTATTTATGTGATTCAAAGTCTAACTAGCGCTCAGTATTTTCTTGTGGACCCCAACCAGTTAGTTTACACCCGTCAACTTGGCTCAACCCAGTTATCAATGACTCCATTGGTTTATCTCATCGTTTAATTTGGGTTCCCCTAGAAATTACAATTAGGATCATAAGTTATTTCTAGTGTTTAAATGAAATTAAGATAGAAATTTCTAAGTATTATACTTATCTTTTATTATATAGTTTGTGTGATTGGTTAATAATAATAGTAATAATGGTGTTCGATTCACCGTTTTAACTGTTAATATCATCAACAAGGCTATTTATAACTGAGAGATAACTGAAAACATTTTAGATTACTTTTACTTTTGCTTTCTGCGACTAGAGTACTGACAAGAAAGACAATAAAAAACCAAGACCTCCATCTTGTGATTTATTCGATTCATTCACTGACAATAGTGTAAATAAATCAGATCAAATGATAGATTTCGATACAATATGCAGTTTATCACCACCAACTACAACCAGTGTACACTCTCACCAGCAGCAGCCAGTTCAAATGGGCTTTGAAATTAATTGGCCAGAAAATATGTTTTCAACACCGGGAGTATCTTTAAATACAAATTCGTTTCAAAATCATACCACTATGCCGCGTCAAGATCATGACCAGTAAGTTCAATCATAACGACTGCATGTTAAATACTAAGTGTTACTATATATTTTTATTATATCTCATCACTACTTTGATTTTCTTTTGAAATTTATAGTCTTTTTTAAAAATATATTTCAGTTTATTAGATAATGAGTTTGGTGATTTCACTTCAGCATCATCTTTGCAGTCTCCTATGTTTCCTGTGACTACTGGTTCAACAATTTCTTCCTCATCATTTGACGATATTTTCTTACCTAATTCTTCAAGTGCTCAACCATATCCATCAAATCAAAATGTAAGTAGTCATAATCGAATATTATTGGCTTGAATAAATAAAGGACTGGAATGATTGCTGACTTTCCAATAGTATGTGTAATGTATGGCTGTTTATGTATTAATATTTATCCATTCAATCGATAAGTAAATGACACATTTTCGATAAATCAAGGGCATAATAATCCAGTTGTATTGGTTGTTTGAATCTCCTAATTAATATTTAAGACTTCAGGTACATTCCTATGAAATCACTGATAGATGCACTGAGCCATATTAGTAGGTTAAGACTATTTGGTTGGGGTCCATATGATTATCGTAAGCACTGAATGACACGGCTCAAGATTGTTTGAAATGGCCCAGGTGCATTTTTTCTTTGTCTTCCCCCAAATTCTAATCTTCTGAATTACGCATAACCTTTCTTTTTACATTTATTCCACTAATTTATATTTCCTCGAATCTTATCATCGATCCCTAATCTTTTCGATAACCACTGATAGTGTTACTACGACTACTAAAACTCGTAGTTCTCAGGTAGTTTCGCTGTGTTTTAGTTTTTTATTCATCTTTTTTGTACTTTGATTTTCTTTTCTAACGCAATGAGTTAGTTTTTTATTCCGAATAATAATAACCAATATTTTTATTTGATAAACCCCACTTATTTGAGGAATGCAGCTTTTTATTTCAGAATCGCCTTTTCAGTTTCCCACTAGTGATAGTAGTAGTGAGTTGTTTGACTGAGCTATTGATGATATGGTGGTTTAGACGATTACTTCAAACAAAGACTATTACCTTCCAATGTTTCTTTGAATCCCCTATTTATCACGTTTCATTATGTTTTCAATGTCAGACACGTTTGTGTATGCTCGTTGTCAGTTAAGATAGTTCCACCTATTTCCAGCTTAATACTTGTTGGACTGAATAGAATTTCAATGATAGGTAGTATGAGGCAAAAACTTTAATTATTATTACTTTGAGAATAACTTTCGTAATTGTGCAATATTTTTCTATTCTTTTAACTGGCAATTAGTGAAGACAGTAATTTCCTCTTTTGATTGTGCCGATCACCTTGTTAGGTTTCATGTAACTATCGTATTCAACGGTTAGAGACTTTGAGTGACAGGGTTCAGAATGTTTCTCGATGTTACAGATGTATTCATCCTTTAGTCCTCCTTAGATGCTGTTTCTGAGTAATCTTGAAAGTAACTTTTCTTTTACAAGAATCCGTGTTTTCTAGAATCATATATTCTATGCCTAATTTCTTCTACGATTAGGACCGATACGGTTACTGATTAGATTACTTTGAGGTATTTCTGTGTTGATGTAATCTGGCTTCCTGAATTGATGTACATATATGTCATGCTATTTGTCTTCACTAGACCATTTGAATTTTAGTCATTGAGGTATTGACACATTGTTTTTTAACGGTAACTCTTTGTTTCCATTCAGATTTATCAAGTTTCCATAAATCTATGTTTCAACATGCCTTGTTTTCTTTTCCCTAACGTATTGACTAGTCACATCAAATCAAGCAAACTGAAGAATTTAAACAACAACAAATGGTTCAATCCAATCCAACTTCACCATCTAAATCTAAGCCGCTAAACATTGGTAATACATGGAAAGAATTAGCATCACTGAGCATTGATTTAGATTCATTAGCGAAACCGGAAAAATACAATACGCGAACACAAGCACCAAGTCTTCACCAATTAAAACAAAATCAACGTGTTCAATAATGAATGGCTAGGATGTGAACGGTTTTTGTTTTTGTTTGTTTGAAAAGGAGGATAGTAAATGTTAACGATTGATAGGGAATCATTTAACCAAATTTTACAAGTGAGATTATTTTTTATTCCATTACTTACGATCACCAATGGTATCGACGAAGACGATAAAAGTGATATTTTATCAATGTATTTCAGCTCAATAACTTACTCTTTTCTTTTCTTTTCTTTTTTTTATTGGTTTTTATTCTACCAACTTACGTTGTTTTTACTAATTAACTTTTCTGAAAGTGAAATGGAGATTAGTTCATTTACTTACGTTATTTATTTATATGATTTCATAATTTGTGTTTACTTTTGTGTACGCACATGTATGTTTATGTGTATGCATAGGTGATGATCTTGCATGCACTTGTATGCAATATTTGGGTTTTTATTTTGTGTATAAGATTTTGTTTTTCTTTTCTTAAAGGAAAACAAACTATATTTGTCTTTCAGATAGTATTTTATTGTTAGAACTTACTACATTTGAAAATTCTGGTATCATTCAAAATGATTAATTATTTGAAAAAAACACCTACATTTTACACCTTTTTATTTTTATTGTCATTTTTAATCCAAGCTTCTGTGATCATGTAACAATGAATTCACAATGTTCATCATATACCAGTTCTTTTCCAAGTGTTGCATATACATGCATATATTAATGAATATATTTATAAGAAGATGGCTAGAAAAAAAGCAGTCTAATCATGGAGTAACCAATATTTGAATAGGACAATGTGCCTTACTTAATTGACTTGTTCTCTTGACTTATCTTTGTATTATTTTCAATATATCCGAACTTATGCTTATATTCAATTATGATTTGGTTGATATACATCTATCAATACACATTGTTCTTTTATAGAAACAGGCATTGTCTGTGTTATGCTGCGATTGCTTTTGTTTATATCCATTCGCATTCAACCACATACATGCACACACAATAATGGGCTATCGAAATGTTTCTTGTTTTTATTATTTTAGTTTGTTTTAACTGACCATTTTGTAAAAGTAAATAGAATAATAATAGTTATCACTTAGAAGTCACTATGTTTTATCTCATTTAGAAATTTGAATTGGTGTAATCGATTGACCGAAGTTTTCCGCTTGTAAATTCTGAAAAGGCCTCCATTTAAACCTAACGACTAAGCAGATTCGTAAGTTAGTGACACGATTTGTCATTTCTACCAACTTTGTAAACCATAAGGGATGATGTCAATCGTTCTGTTACGCTTGTGTTTCTGCCATTTCAATTGTTGTGTTATGTATATAACGCTTTTGATGTTGACGCTGTTTTTACCAACTAAAAAGCAATTGTCATAAAGAAAACCATATGAAGTGGAAATAATTGAAAAATTATATTGTACCTCATCCGCCCGTTAAGTAAAAATAAATGATCGGATAAAAAGTTTCTTGTTTATACAATAATGCAGTTGAATTATTTTAGCGGACTCAGCTTAGGTCGGTGAAATTAGTGAAATAAGTTCGAATATTGTGCCATAATGCACAGAGATGGTATTACATAAAAGACATAAAACTAAACCATGAAATTCCTTGAATGCTAGCAAATTCATAGAAACTGATTCCTTTTATTCAGTGTTGGTTGCTCATTCTAACATCCCGTGTATGGATGTATATACTCAACTTCGAATCACATTGTTAGCATGTGGGCTAGTCATACCATATAGATGATATGGAATTCGGGTATGGTATCTTCTGGTTTGCAACTATAATGAGTGGAACTTTCCGACATGATTTACCAAACTGATTCTTCTTTGAACGTTAGTAAAATGAGGATATCAACCAAAAGAAACGCTTACGCTTTCATGTTCTGAAAACTTTCTAATGGAATTTAATAAATTCTTGATGAACCTATGTATGTAGATTTTTATTTCCAACCTTTTCGTTCCAATTACTCAGGATTACATACACGAAAGTATAAGTTGAAAACATTATACTTTTGCATAACAAGTACACTGTGTCGGATAATTTAAAAAGTGAAACTATGTGCTTAATAATGTCGTCAACTCGAAAAGAGTGTTGTCTAGAGGTAGCTTTTTAAAATATTCAAATAAACAGAATTATTTTTAGTTTGATTTGTTTACCTTCTGCAACAGTCCAATCAACTTTATCAAAAGATATATGAAAGGCATGTTGTCAGATTGAGGAAATCTCAGATCCGAATAATGCTTCACGCTGAAATCACATCTAAAAGTGGAACAATACAGATTAAAAGAATGTGTTTACAAAGCTATTTGTGTTAATATTTGAGTGTCATCAGTAAACATAGCCGGCTAAATAAAATATGTTCATCAAGTTCATTTAAAGTGAATAAATAACTACAATCACGTGATATCATATCTTTCTATGTATGTACATACAGTGGAAACTGCACTGCGATGAATTAATAAGTCTCTATTGCATGACGAAAGTCACCGGTGGTTAGAGACCTTGATTGACATGGCTCAGAATCGTTTGCAATGGCGCAGGTGCATCCACTCTTTGTGTGCTTTTTCATTCTAACCTTCTGAATTCCTCATAGTCTCTATCATTCTCCTTCTAAATTTATCTCACTGAATTATACTTTTTGAATCATATCTTCGCTCCCTAATCTTCTCCATTGCTGCTAATACTTCTACTATCACTATCACTCTTGGATTTGAACTGACAGTTACGTCTCTGTGCTGATGTGGTATAGCAAACTGGACTGATGTACTTATGTACGAAGTTGTGCGTTGTATCTGTCTGTATGTCTGCATGATGTTTTGTTCAGTTTCACAAAATCCTACATGTGAAAAAATAAATGTTGATGATTTCGGTAACCATTCATCAACTAGTTTTTATTTTCAGCATGCTCATTTTACTCAGTTTATCAATATACATATATATACTTTGAAGAAAATCTGAATATATTCTAAGTAAAAGCTAATCTCTAATGCCTTTACATTTCAGCTTGAAACGTTTTATTTTCATTCAAAAGACTGTTGAAGTTATGTTTACTTAAAACTGTTGTTCATTTTGTGATGTTCTTTCTACTTTTTATTGAATGAGATCAATTATAGTGCCAGTAAATTACTATGTGCAATAATTTGCTTTTACATTGAATTCACTAATTGTATTGACTATAGAAATACATTCGATTTTCTGAAGTTAGCTGATATAAAATTTATTTATTTATCTGTTTCTATTAAATATTTATTTAAGTTACCTTGGTTACATCTCAAATAGCAACAGGGAAGCTGAATAGTATAACTTTCAATATAACAATTCTCTGTTTTAACCTAAAAAAAAACCACCCGTTAGAAGAAACTAGGTCATTGATCGTTTTTCGCACAGTAAACAAAGATGAGACATTGTGCTTTATTTAAAAAAAAAGAAGAATTATGAAGCAATCCAAAAGGAGAATTCTGGAATGGCTTCATAGTATTTTATGCGCTTCGAGTATTTGAAAATTTAGTTTTTCTTTTCACAATATTCTAAGTAGCTTTTGATGGCTTCATTGAAAATTGAGCAATAACTAAATATATATCATATACTTAGCTATGAGTTTAATGAATGCATCTTTGAAGCTCATATAAACAGTTTATTGAACGTTAGTCATAAAATGTTGTTGAATGCTTCAGTTTACATAGATTCTAAAATGATGCTATTAAAATGATTGGTTTGTGCACAATCTCTAGGTGAATGCTGAAAAAGAATTTCCCATTCATCAATATTCATTGTCATTATAAATAAAAATTCGAAAGTCATCTAAAACGGATATAGGTTAAATGATGTATATTATATGTAGATTCATAATAACCAATATCTTGTTTGGTACTACATGTAAGCCAATGTATTTTTAGATTTGATCCTGGAAATTTCTTATCTAGTTAAGGGTGTGTCTTAGTCGTTTCGTATGCATACAGAAGTTACATCTAGAATTTCAAGAAAACAAACAATAAGACCTGGATTATTGATCATTTTTTTAGCAGCGTCAACAAATTATCGATAACACCATCATTTGTGTCAACAGAAATTTCACTAAATTTTTAAATTATACAAAATTCTTGCTTCCAGTATAACATGATAATATCCAGCTTGCTACGTGAAACACCTAATATCTATATCATTATGTACAACAAAAAAATTATCTCATATGTGTGTATTTATATCTCGTTCAAAATGATTTTGTCTGTTTGTTTTATATAATGCAATATTCAAGACTAGTTACGAAACTGAAAATGTCATCTGATTTTATATCAAACTAATTGAAATAATGGTTTTCATAATTACATAATAATGTTAACGGTTTTAATTAAAATTTTGCAGTGAGTTTTGTTATTGATAATAGACATTAGAACTAAGAGTAATTTTTCATGTAAACAGATCGAACAATAGGTATTTTGAGAAACGATCGATTAATTGTTTCAGACTGTGCTGATGATAAATTAATGCATTTCAGTAGTAGATACTAATCTTTGAAGTTATTGCATGTGTAATGAATAAAAACAAATTGGAGAAGAATTGTAGTGCTGAATTTTAAAATATATTACTATTACTCGAGCTTATGCTTACTTATCGCTTCGTCTGTTTTTACCGTAATATGTATACACTGTGATGTCTTTTAAACTAACCATAACCTGATATATATATATATATATATATAAGCTTTCTTAGAAGTTCCATTTGATCTCATTTTATTTGTCTGTGACTGTCATCGTTAAATTGTCAGTGTTAAAGTGAGTTGTTTGATCGATCCAGTTTCATATTAAAAACATAACCCATTCATCTTAGTACTTTGCACTTAATCAACGTCTACAGATTCCTTTAGGATTATTCGATTGAATTTTAAGATATAATTCATCTAACACTGACATGAACTATCTAATCATTGAACAAACCGTGAATATCAGGTAATTTTTATTATTATTCAATTATATAAATTAACTCTGTATTGTCAAGGGCAATTTTACATTGGTTTTCAGGAAAACCAAGGACACTGCTCACGTGTTACCATGTCTACGTGAATAGTTCGGCTCAATCCTGTGGTGCAACCACACAGGTACGTGATAACCTGGTGGACCATTCACACCATTTATATATAACACTAGTACATATATAGTGATTATTTCCGATGCATGATCGCGTCAATCAATATGCACCTCATGAACAGGCCATTTTGACCCATCCCGCTTTCATGACTGTCAAACTCATTATTGTTAGCAATGGTGATATGCAATATAGCAACGCCAATGACAATGGCCCTCGGGAATGTTGCAAAACAACCACCTATATCAATGAAATCGGTCGTCCTGCTAACCAATTTCGTATATGGACTGTTAGCAATACTTGCTAAAGCAATACCAAGCCATCCACAATGTTCACAGCAAACCTCTGGTCTCACAGGAGACCCTCAGCTCTATATAGCAGTATAGCATACGGTGTAAACATATATGGTGTAAAACAGTAGAAGAGGCAGCGAAGCTTGATGTAAATAGGCCCAAACAATTCTATTACCCTTTGTCTCATGTCGGGCAATGATTTTTTTGCATTTCCGAAATTTCCATTTTTCGACCATATGAGATAAGACCTGAGTTAGGAGTAGTATCCCTATTTTTTTTATCATTATCATTTTATAAGTAATCACAAGTCATTTCATTTTAGATAATCTTCATTCCCCACTACAGAACTATGAAATTTGAATATTTTATTTAAGATGATACTCTATTAATCATATAGCTATTTTTAATGAATTCTAGTGTTTAATTATACTTTGAAACGTATAATCAACTAAAAGTATAAATAAGGAGAAAGTATTTTCAGCAAAAAAAAAAATTTACAAAAGCAATAATTGGACATTATAAACTTCAAGCTTAGTTATATCAAGACAATATTGAATTGAATTGTGTAGGTTAATTGATTTATTTTTGTACAACTTATCTAAGGTATGCACGAAATGAAAGAACAAATGTGAGTGGTTACACGATGAACGTTTGACAGCCTATTCAACAATCAATACTGTAAACAGTTCAAGTCTAATTTCACTATGAGACACATTTATTACCATGAGTTATAGAAACATGGCGTGTTTTTGATCAATACTATGGTTTAAAAAGGTGAACGTAGTTAAATATTTATACTGTAACACTCGTTATCAGCAGTCACCGAACAGCGGATCAGATCTAAAATTGCAACACACGGAGTTAGCTTAACACTTCACACCAAGAGAGAACACGAAGTACGGCCATGGCACTCTTTTATTTGAAAATTAAAATACGCGGGGTTTCTACAGAAATGGGGTTGGTAGTGTACCAAAGTCTTATGAGTCATCCTGTAAGTTCAGAGCACTCAGGGCTTGTTCTTCAGCTTTCAAAGCGTTTATGTTTTGATCGCCCTGAAATAGAAAGAAAACAGAACGGGTTAGCAACATCATACATGGTGGTTTTGGCTCCGTTACAATACTAATAAAAACTGAATACTTTA